TTAAAAAACACCTTTCAATTTTTTTTTTGCTGAGTCAGCGGAAAATTTAGTTCCGAACAACGAAAAATCCACCTTTTAACATGGGCTCCTATGGGAGTGGACTTTGTCAGTTTTTTTTTCGCCATTGCTTTCTTAAGAAAAAAATCTTTTACCGTACGAAATTGCCTTCACGATGCGTCAAAAACCGTAAACGCTCGCTTAAAACACTTCTCGTCTAAAACGCTCAATACGGTTATAACAGGCTTTAGCGTACGCACATACGCTTCGTGCGCGTACCAACACGGTTCGTGAGTGCAGCAGGACCATACACTGCGGTCGCAGGACTGCTTGGCAGGACGGTGCGTAAATGTCCGATAGGTCCTTAATGTGCACGCCGATATGTTGTAGAGGTGAGTGAGCGAGCGAGCGAGCATGAGAGAAAGTGATTCGAGTACGATTTTTACCGTGATCGATGATTGACATCGGTTTTAAGTCGATGTTTTTGATTGTTGATGTGCGTTTTTTGTTTCGGCTCTTTCAATCATGATATACGTTTCTCGCTTGATGATTCTCTACGATTGTGGCTTGTTGCTGCAATCTAATACGCGAACCGCGGGCTTTATTCGATAGTCAATTTGGACGGCTCGGTTGGCGATGTATCCTGCCACCGATCAGCGAGGATCTCGCTTCATATCGAGTCTCCGATGTCGACTAGACATGAATAAAAGCGTGTCCTGTTAGATTAAACGTGTTCGTGATGTAGCTTAAGATCGATTTTAATATGATCTGTTGAGCATACATTGTAACTGAATCAAGTCGCAAAACGCGATGTATATTATGAAAACTTGAATGAAAAAGCGCTCCCGAATCTCAAGGATCGATATTGTTGCTTTGCATATGTGTATGTGACACCAATCGATTGTGAACGGGACGCGAGAAAAGTACCATTCAATAGGAGCTTTCAAACTATACACTATTGTCCAATGACTTATTCACTAGACACTAATAGCGAGTGTTGAATAGCAGCTGTAAAAAGCACGTTCAACAATCGTGATTAGAGAAGCGCGTGCGATAGCAATATTGTACCGTTAGTCAAAACAAAACAAGAAATAAGCGAAACTCAGAAGCGTTTAAAAGCCTCTGAGTTAAGCTAGACTCTTGTTTGAAAGCCGTACTCTGGCTACTTTCATACGAATAGTAGCCGGTAACTGTTTTCAAGTACAATCACCAATAACGAAACCGGTCATCTCTATTCATAATAGGGTTTGATTGTTTCGCAATAGATGCGAGTAACGAGTTGTTCTCTGTATATGCTGTAACGCATACACGTGCGCAACACCGTCACTTCATTGCATCTGATGC